GGGATTTACGACGGAGGAACCGTAAATCGAATAAGTGTCCAGAAGCCTCGTTCGCTACAATTCTTCACCGCCTTCGTACAAGGAAGAGATTCCCTTCAATATTTGAGGACCCTGCGGAACCAAGCTTGTTAACGAGTTTTCTCACGTCGTTGATATATTTATAGGCGAACTATGTTGTTAACATTACTACTGTAAACCAGTAAATTGAAAAATAAATAAGGAAAATAAATTTTTATATAAAATAAATAATAAAGCTTGGTGATATCATTTCATATACAATGGATATTTAATTTGTAAAGATTCGAGAATTACTAACAAAACTCTCTCACTTGCTACGTTGACTATAGCTAGGAAACAATCTTTCTTTAAAAAAAACAACTAAAAATGCACAACTATGTAATAATATATATATATATATATATATCTTTTTTTTTTTGTTGGGGTTCCTAGTGAGATGGAATATTTTATATAAAATATGGGAAAGATAAAGATACTAGATATCTATTAAGATAGTTACTAAGTTATGTAACCTTAAAATTAATTTTTAAGTTATAATTAGAAAATGTCTGACCACACATAAAAAAAATAAATAAAAATAAAAAATCCGTCAACTTTTCACCAATTCAAAAATCAGCAAGACAGAAGATAACGAAATCAATCAGCAAATCGAAGATAACGTCACTCGATGACATCCAATCACATACTGAAAGGGAGGTAAGGTTACACAGCTGAGGAAGGTTATGATCAAACAGCTGATCGGTAAACAAGAAACAGCTGGAAAGAGTTTTTTTTATAAATCAAAATTTATAAATATAGAGCAAAAAAAAAAATAAACAAAAATTAAATAATAAATACAAGATAATTGAAAATGCATATTAAAGGTAAATTAGTATAAAAACAGCTGATCATGCAGAAATAGTTTAAAAAACAAAACAAATCACCTAGATTAATATTAGACTTATAAAATGTACTCTGTTTCACAATAAAAATAATTTTTTTTTTAAATATTTATTTATTGAATGAAAAAAGCATATTGCCTCAATTAAGTTCATTAGTATTTGAGATGTGAGAGACTCATTCATAACATATATAAAACAACAAAAAAAAAAAAAGGGAACAAATTATAATAAAAGAAAAGAAAAAGAAAATTTAGTAAAACAAAAGAAATTAGTAAAACATGAGAAAATATCAGATACAAATAAAAAAAACACATTCATACTTAATTAAAATAAAAAATTATTAAACATTTATGTTTGAGCTATTCCGCCATTTCTACAAAAAAAAAAAAAATATCTTTTTTGAATAAGTATATTATGGAGTTTCGACAACGGCTAGATTCTCCACTCACTAGCGGATCCAGGATTTAATATTTTTTTTTGGGTGGGGGGCTTCAGCCCAAAAGCTTTTTTTTTTTTCATAAAAACAACCAGAGTCAAGTTTTCTGCATTGAACCATTTATTATTTATAAATATCACCATATTAATATATTTTCAAGAGGTCAATGTTATTGTAGCAGCAATCAGTATGATCGGTTATTCGAACTTTTGATTAAATTTGTTTATAAATTTTCTATTCATGTAAAGATAGTAAGTAAAATTGTGGCTTAATCAATTTCTAAAAACTACAATCCATGATTTACAGACACAGTACTTGATGAGCGATGAAAATAAAAAAAAAACGAGAAATGATCTATTTCCACTTTCGGACATTAATGAAACTCGCTGAAAACTTTGGAGTCTATGATTTCAGTAAATTTTTTCGCCACTCTCCTTCCCTCTCCGCCCATCTGCTGGCCTAATGCCAATAAAAGCCAGAACACTTGTTGCTTCAACCCTTCGGCAACGGGATGATTATTTATGCAACCCCATCACATTAAATAACAACAAAATTGTATTCATGTGATTTATCCCAGACTTTCACAATACAGATTCGAATTATTCTTCTTGTTTTTCATATATTGGAAACATAAATATACATGAGCTATATATTGGAGCTACATCAGACATAAATCCTTTTTTTTTATTATTATTGAAATTTACAACTGTATAATGATAAATACAACTAGTAAATATGAAATAAGTAACTTGACATGTACAACATGAAGAGAAACTACCCATTGGTAGCACTCCAATTATATTTCTATATTAGAAGGTCCCGAGGCCATCTTCTTTTCAGACGCCTCGGAGGGTTATCAGGAATAGAAGAGGAAGCAAGGTTGGAAACAAGTGGGTTCGGATGGTTCAGAAGTTTATTATGGAAGGATAGGTATCTGGATTGAGCTAAATCGGAAACATATGGTACATTAAGGTCGTTATGGATGATTTTATTTGTGACAAAGTAAGGAGCATTGAGGATTTTACGAAGGATTTTGGATTGTAGGGATTGGATACGAGAGGAATTTGATGGTTTAGTAGAGCCCCAAAGCTCGATCCCGTAAGTCCAAATAGGCCTTATTATAGTAATATATACGAGTCTTTTGTAAATAGTTGGAAGTTTAGAGCGTTTGTCTAGTAAGTGCTGCAGTAGTCGAACACGTCGGGCGGTTTCTAGTCGTTTCAGTTTGGTATGGAGGTTCCAAGTGAGTCCTTTGTCCAGGTGGAGTCCTAGATATAGGTTGGATATTTTTATAAAGCAGCAAAAAAGGTTAACAGATCTATTTACAGAAAGAAATATTTACAGAATTAATACTATATATACAATAAAAAGAAATAATATACAAGGAAAAAGAGAGAATTTAAACATAATTACTATATACAATTAAAGATAAATAGGAAGATATTTAAGATAATAAAGGTAACAAAAAAAGATACTTATTCTATATACAATAGTATGGCATGCCACATCTAAACATCAAGAAAAGATAGTCAAGATACAAGAGATATAAGATGTAAGAGCACATGCACATGCTAAAATATCAATTAGTAATCAGGCACAGGAAACAAAAGAGAGTAGAGTTTGTTTTGTTTCCAGTGCTTTCTTAATCTTGGTTACAATACATATGGTTACATAATTAAAAATGAAATTAACTACTTTAAATTGAAACAAGATGCGAAATGTGGCTCTTCAATTTTTTTTTTTAAACTGTATTTGCTGTTGACCAACTCCCATTTTATTATACAATTATACAACTATTGATTTAATTATATATGGAGCTCAAGATCCAGAGAGCGGGGTAGCTCAGAGGCTGAGCACTGACATCTAGAGCTGAAGGTCCCAGGTTCGAAACCCGACTGATGCCTAGTAATTTTTTACCGATTGGGGGTCGACCCTGGGAGAAGGAGACCCTCCTGGGGCAAACCCAGCCTCTATAAAGTGGGTACCTTTAATTAAATAATTGATTAAGGGGAAAAACCTGGTGGTTGAGCGTGATATTGGCCCGTCACCTCCCTGCACAACCGTTGGCCTTGTAACAGTACTTCCTCACATTGTACTGAACCCAAGATCCTTCATGGGTTATTAGTGGTAAAGAAGAAGAAGAATGTTTTGAGCTCCTGTGACCTCCTATTCCTAATACAAAATGAAGATTTTAGACCCGAGATTCGTAAAAAGGTAGTTCGAATAATCGCTCTAAGAGAGCAGCACTTTTGAACCTAGAGGACTTGGCTGATAAGTTGAAGTCCTGTAACCTCCTACTCTCCTAATACTAAAAAGGGATTTTCACTCTGGTGTCTTCGTCATGGTCCGTCCCGATGATATGATGGTCACTAAACAGGTTTTTTTTTCTATATTAGAGAGATATGTAAAGACTGGAAGGCTTCGTTGAAATGGAAGGTATTTATTTTTCTTATAATCTATTAGATTGTGATTCTTTAATAGCCTGTGTCAGCTTATAAAATAATTAAGATAGATTTTGCATGATGGCGTTTGTAGTTTTCCAACTTTAAAAATGAGAAAAGAAACATTCTCTAATGCATTACGCATCATATCTAAGGAGTCCCTCATTCCGAAATTCATTATTTCGTCGAAATTGAAACATTCTATCTATGTCTTTATTTTGGTTATCAATCACCAATCCTAGAGCTGTATTACGGGCTATTTGTCACTCCTCATTCCTTCGTCCCACAACATCTAGTTTGTTTCGAATGTGTTATTACAATATTTTTTTTTTTCAAATCGGACATAACTGGGCTATCACTTATTTAAGATGGAATCTTCAATCCTTCCTAAATATTATTTTAGCAGTTTAAAGAAGTGGGGTATCTTAAAAGAAATTAGATTTTCTACTAAAATTCAAAGCTATAACAAGAATCTCTGTTGCCCCCACGTAATAGAACATTACATGTTGACTTAGTTTGAAAATATTTTATTAGAAAATTAAAGAAAGTTCTTATTTCTTCTGATAATTGTTTTTAACTATTTCACCTCCAGTTTTAATTTTATTGGTGAGAGAAAAGTAAAGCTAAAGTTGAAATGTTGTTATTCTTCATTCCTTTATGTCATTAATTTATAATTTAATTAACAAAGTTAAACCCAAAGCTTTGATGAATGAGATTTCGGAACAAAGTTTTCGTGATCATGTCAAGAAATGATTTTGTGAAAAACTGCAAAATTTATAAGATTTTATTTAATGAAAATCGGGGAGCGGGATAGCTGAGTGGGTGAGCACTGACTTCCAGAGCTCAAGATCCCAGGTTCGAATCCAGCTGATGACTAGTAATTTTTCATCAGCCATGGATCGACCCTGGGGTCGGGAGACCCTCATGGGGCTCACTCAGCTTCTAAAAATCGGATATTCTTAATTAAATAATTAATTAAGAGGAAAACTTGGCGATTGAGAGTGATATCGGCCCAATCACATCCCTGTGCAATCATTGGCAATCATTTTTTTTTTTTTTTAATGAAATTCAAATTTTCATAATGCGCATTCTTGAAAGAATTTACCAAATCTATGAGTGATAAATATTTTCAAGGCTTTTACTATATTGTATTAACGGTACATTATATCTTGAAGATATAAGATTTTTTTTATTTCTCGCTCGATCCATCCAACGAGACACCTGATGGAGCAATCCATTATAGGAGGAAGGGGGAGAAGAAGACAGGAAAGTTAATTTTAAAAAAATCACTTAGCTGGGCGAGATGGCCCAATATCCGCCCCCTCCTAATATCGCGGCCATTTGGACAGGAGCGCGCTCTATATGTCATCCAGGAGAAGTTTCATATAATGCCCCTACCGCCATAAGAGATCACTAAAAATTCATATTGTTCGTATAATTCATCCCGGTTTTCTTCTTAGTATGATATTTGACATGGGAGCTTTATCCAGATCTTTATAGCTTCCGGTATTTTCATAACTTTATTATATTAATTACATGGAATACATACTTTATTAAAAAGTCATTAGAACCGAATATAAAAAAAAACAAAAAAACAATCCGGCCCGAAGGACCAATTTCTTTATTTCGGTAATTTGGTAACAGGCAAATATTACCTAAAAGATTAACTTTATATGACAAAATGGAAGTGCTATCGTAATGGTTTGGTACTGTTAGGCAAATATGCTTAAACTATGGACAAGTTTCTAAACTGAACGCTTAGCTCATCAATGTCATCTGAAATCCTTCAGGCTCATAAACTTTTCGATGAAAACCGTCGATAGAATACAGCCCGTTTCTTTATTCAACGATTGAAACATTTGATGGGATCGGTAGCTAGATGTAACCTTCTTTTTATATTTCACTTTTAGGTAATTTTAACTGGAGGTGCCTCAATCCACGAATATCAGTTAATTGATAACGAACTTGTGCAAGTCGTTACAGAAAGTAATATCAGAAATGTAACATTATGTTAATAACAAGTAGTTAAATAAATAATACATATAATTTAATATATTATATACTTATTGTGCAGGGGGTCGCGGTCTTCATGGAGTCAGGATGAGCGTGCCCCACGCTGTTCGCTTGGGCTCACCTGCGATCCTCACCTGTAATTTCCTCTTGGATGGAGATGCGCTCTACTCCGTCAAGTGGTACAAGGGAGGAAGGGAGTTCTACAGGTACACTCCAAAGGAAACACCAGCACTTAAGGTTTTTCCGATGCCAGGTCTCACAGAACACGATGTGAAGGTAAGCGTTTATAACTTTAAATTTGGGTCCATTGCATTCTTACGCACACGTTGCAATCCATAGGATGGCAAGAAGAAAGAACATTGATGTGTGAATTGGGTTAAAATATATAAGATACGATCAGAGTATATGTATTTCAAAATGTTATTCTTTTTTTGTTTAAAACTGCCCATTGCATTAAACACTTAACCAAAAAAAATAAATAAAGTTCTGTGTTTTACATATGTGTGTCTTTTTGGTTGTCCCGTATATCTGTGAAGAGTCCGTATGGGCTTAAGTAGGTAAATTTAACTGTTTACGTAACTTTTCCTATTATGGCAAAATAACTTTCTTGAGTTTCAATAAGGCAACATTCTAAATTTTATGGCAACATTCTAATTTTTTTAGCAGTGGACTCTATCTCAAGGGATTAGTAGGTTAATGATTGTACGAAAAAATAGCTTACCGTCTAATATGGCAGCGTACATCTTTTTTTACATGGAGGGCCCTCCGCCGTCGGTCCTTGCTGGTTGAATGCTGGTGAAGAAGTGGCCTCGAGACAACCAGTCGCTCTCAAAGCTTAAGTGTTATCTTTTATCTTTTAGATCTGCCCCCACCACTCGCCGTAACGCGGGAAATTTAAACCTTCTCTACCTCTCCTGGCACAATCTGTAACTGTTCAGTTTCTTTATTTTATTATTAATTTTTAACGTTTTGAAAGTTGTGAGTATAATAGTCGTAGTTTAACGTTTTTCTATTTTTGTTGATATGCGAGCTCTATTGGATCTTATCTGTTTGAGGAATTATAGATATGAATTAAATGCGTGTTTCACAATACGTTGTACTTTTTGAAACATTTTAAATTTTCGATAAAATTTATAACATTTTTAATATTAAAAGTGAAAAATGACTTATATATTACATCGTATTATTTTTATCTACTTTCTATTTGTATTGATTAATTCAATTTAATTGTTCATTATTCTAAGCATTTCCGTTTCTTATGATCTCTCTTTTATTTTATTTTATCTTTGTTTTTATTCACATTGTACTCTTATCTATAATTTATTAATTCTATTTTACATATATATATATGTTTATATTTATAATTTATTATTTCATAGATATAGTATTTTTTCCTTGTATCCATCCATATCTTCAACTTTTAGATACTGTAATTTTCCAGGTTTTTTTTTCTTTTTTTCACCATTACCCAAACAGGTCAGCAAATCTCCTAAATACCTACCCTTACCCTCATTTTCCAATTATAAGTGAAACTCCTAGCTGAACACACCTGTCTTTATTTTTATTCTTCTAATTTTATTTACTTATTTATTTATTTATTGGTTTTCTTTTTTCTTATCTTTCTCCACATTCCTTTATGTCTATTATTTCATATTATATCCTTTTTCATTTTCTTTCTATCTCTCCTGTGGATCTATAGAAGTATATTCACATTTGCATATATTATATATTAAACTACAACAATTGTTACCATCGATTTACTTCAGTTTAGGATCTTGTTACTTAGCTTACTCTGTTTATATTTTAATGTACTTGCTGTTTATAATTTTAATAAGCTCATTCACATTGTTCATAATTTTTTGTCTAAATATTATGTAACTTCCACAATTCTCTATATCTTTTTGTATCTTGTCCGCTCTAGCCCTGAAGGAGACCTGCAAAGTCTGGTCGAAACTTCGGCTTTTAATAAAATATTTTTGCCACTATTTAGCTTATTTATGACCGCCACCCCGGACCATCTCCTTCCTTCATTTTGAATTTTCTGAAGATTCTATTTAGGATTTTACTTACAATAATAAGAGCATCGCTTTGGATATCCATTACCCTGATAACGAGAGGTGCTACCAATCAACCCTTATTTACGAGGCAATTACACAAAGTGACCAGTGGTTAACGAATCGATGTAAGCTGTTAGGACAAAGCCATGATGAAATACACCTCCATTTGCCCCGGCTCTTTCTAAATAGTTCGCTTAACACGATCCGCGCTTTATTGTCACTATAAATTGAACCTTTCTGTCAGGGTTCGGAAAGCGGCAGCACTTAAAGTACCAGTTAATACTTAAAGATCTTAATGACTTGCTACTAAAACCTTCCCTTGCCGGTAACTTTCCTAATCTAAATTAAATCGTTAAAGTTTAAAGCTTTGAGTAGTCTTAATGGGCAGGGCGTAACGCCACAAATGTTGGATTCTCACCATCAAACAATTATGCCTTCTTAATGCTTTGCAACGGAACTTCACTGAATTTTAATTTTTAAAATTCCAACTGAGACTCAGTTCAAAGAAAAAGATATTTATGGTATTGTGATGGGGGAGGCACTTTTATCATTTAATACACTTACCCTCCGAGGCGTCTGAAAAGAAGATGGCCTCGTTATCATCTCATGTAAATATATTATTAGAGTGCTAATAATGGGTAGTTTCTCAACAAGCGTTTTCATGTAATTGTATTATTACTGTGTGCACATTTACTAGTTGTATTTTTTTTTTTATAATACAGTTGTAAATATCATTGAATAAAAAAAAATTGAATTAATTCATAAAATATTTATTTAAATTCATAACCGTACTGCAATCACCTACTCCGGAATCAACTTATTCACTGTCTGTATAGATAACTTTTTTAACTAGAAATATCACTAAAATGACATTACTAAAAAATGTTGAAATTGGAGTTATTCATTATATCAACTGAAAGGCTCAGAGACTGATGTTGTGTGATTTATAAAATTCGAAGGAGTGACTAGATTTTTATTGACTACCAAATAAATAGACTTTTTAAAATAACTATAAATTGTGAGGAAAAAGATGACATTGTGAGAAACTTTTCGATACACAAACTAATGGTAGTTATTAATTAACCCTTAGTAGTTATAAGCTAGAACATTTCGTGATCATCTTTACAGATGCCTAGGAGGATTATCAGCAATCAGGATTATCAGAAAGAAGTAAGGTTGGAAACAAATGGGTTGGTACGGGTCTGGAGTTTATCATAAAAGGATAGGTATATATGTTGAATTACGATATATGGAATAATAGTATTAACCTCTTTATGAATTATTTTATTTGTTAAAAAATAAGGAACGTAAAGGATTTTAAGAATTATTTTGGATTGTAAGGATTGGATATGAATGCAGTGGTTTGGTAGAGCCAAAAATTTCTAATCCATAAAACCTTATTCTAGTCATGTAAATGAGTCTTTAGTGATTATTTGAAAGCTTAAAGCGTTTGTCTAGAGTTAAAGAAGTCGGAATGAGGATTTCAAGTAAGATTTCCAAGTTATAGGTTCTGTTCACCATGGATAAGTGGTGTATTATTAATGGATATTGTAGGACAAGAAGTGATATATTTTGCGACGAAGGGTAAAAGTGGTAGGTTTATTGGAATTTATTTTAATTATCCATTTTGAACATTTGCCAAGGTATTGGAAAATAAAGTGTCATGTGGAAAGTGTCAAATCAAAGGAAGTACCTGCGAAATTTCAATGAATTCAGTAGCTAAATTTAATCAATTCTATAAACTACAAAAATTCAATCAAATATAGCGACTGAATTCACTGAAATTTCGCAGGTACTTCGTTTGATTTGCATATTCCACATGACACTTTATTATCGAATACCTTGACAAATATTAAAAATGGATAATGAAAAACAAATCCAACAAACCTACCACCATTGCCCTTCATCGCAAAATCTACCACTTCTTGTCCTACAATATCCATTCATAATACACCACATATCCATGTTGAACAGATCCTAAAACTTGAATGTCTTACTTGGAATTCTTATCTAAGAGAGTTTCCGGTTTTTTTAACTCTAGACAAACGCTCTAAGCATTAGATTAATCACTAAAAACTAATTTACGTGACTAGAATAAGGTTTTATGGAGTAGAACTTTGGGGCTCCACAGAACCACTGAATTCATATCCAATCCTTACAATCCAAAATTCTTTTTTAAATTGTACCTATCGAAACGAGCGACGTTACCAAGCTAAAAGATAATCAGTGCTAAAACAAATGTTAAAATTCCAGTTAATTGCTATCGTGCATCGGTTTTCGTTGGTTCTTACAACTAAGTAAAGTATCTTGCAAATTACGGTAATGTTAAAAAGGTGATTATCTATCTCAAGAGCAACAAGATAGTTCTTACATCTTACTACGATCTAATGCAGGAAATTTATTTTTAATATATTTTAATTTTTTATATTCTCCAAAACATCAAGATATGAAGAACCATTCAACTTCACGAGAGAGATGTTGGAAATTCTCTCCCTTTCTGTACCTGCATTAGGAGATCTGTGAGAGGGAGGGGAATATAATTCGGGTCACTGGGATAGACCGGGCCAAAATACCAGCTGCCCATGAAGTAATATTGAAGGCCCTCAGGAATCCCCGGAGGAAATAATTGCGCTGGGTCTCTGGCGTGGTGATGATGATGAGGATTCCACGGAAAAAGGGAGCCACCGGCAGATTCTACCCCTTCCGTACGTTCCACTTTTCCATGGAGGAAAAAAAAAAGATAAAGGAAAAAGAAAAAGAAAAAAAGCGAGCTTAGGGTAAAACATTATCCGACATAATTAAAACATGTAAGCCCTCCCTCCTCCCCGAAAACGGTGAGGAATTTAATTACATGCGAAGAGCACTCATTTGATCCTCTCAGTATAAAGAAGCAAACCGGATATATCTTGTCAGAAACAAATTAAAAAGATTTTTATCAACGAAATATATTCTTCTTTGATCCATTGATTAATTTATATAAATGGAGTAGAGAATATTCATATTTTATATAATATTTGTTCATTATTATTATTGTGTTATTAGGTGCTTGAAAGTTTAAAAGATTTTAATTCAAAATATGATGAATGTAAACATGTGCTTTTAAAAAACGACCCGTAATCAACAACCTTCGAATTGAGTTAGTGTGTTTTTTACTTTCTTACAGCTACTAGATAAAGAAATGGTCTTGTAAATACAGATGTATTCCTTTTCCGAACCGTTACAACCAAAAAGCCATATTGTCCTTCCTAGTTCGTTTACTCCTTGTTCCTCTGGACATTCGTTTAACACGAGACCCCAGTTTACAAAGTTATATATTACTTCTCATAGAACTGTTTTGTTTAAAAAATCTTTTGTCAAGATTGGTACCTTGTTTTGGAATTCCTTACCAACCTCCATACGCAAATCCTCTCCCTCACGTCATAATCACCATTTATTTTTACACCTCCTCAGCTATCAATCTACCCAACATATGTAAGAATACCATTTCTTAGCATTCAAGAGCTGTCACCCAAATTCTGCTGGTATACTACTAGTGTTGCCCAAATGCGAGACCGAGAGGAGTCTTGGTCTTGCAAACTCAGTCTTGGTCATGGTCTTGGTCTTGCGCAAGAGTCTCGCAACAGTCTTGCAGTTACTTATTAGCTTATTACTGTAGTTTTTTAGACAGGAGAAACCTAACTAAGCCCGAATGAAAAATTAGAGGAGTTAAATGCAAAAGTATATTGGTTATACCAAATATTAACGTAACTAAAATTGTCGAATACTAGTAAATATCTTGTCTTAATTTTTATTTAAAAAATCGATTTTTTTTACCAGTCCTGGTCTTGGTCTTGCAACAGTTAGGCGGCCTTGGTCTTGGTCTTGCAAAGTGCAAGACCAAGACAGAATTTGGGCAACACTATATACTACAGATGTTATCCTATAGATATTATTATAGATATCTATATTGCTTCTTTGTACAAATATGTGAACAAACTCATGTATATTTATTTATCATAATCATGTATAGATTGGAGTGACTGCTTTTTAATGGTTTTAATAGAGGAACAAATTTGTGATATCTTGTACTTAAGTTTTGTAATATTTTCTTCACCAATAACAGATGTAAGAAATGTGGTGAGGGAGGTAATTTTTGAATTAAGATAATCTAATTGCTGTATGATCTCTCTTACTTTTAAATTTAACAGAGTTTTTTTTAAATTTAATAATTAATGTAGTAAATTGGATTTTAATGAGCGGGCAACATGGAAAACATTAAACCGGTACTCGATACATTCGGGGAAGACTTGGATTGATCTGCATTTTAAGAGGAAAATCCATTGCTCAGTTATTTTAGTGAGCTGTTTATGGTGGTTGCAAAAAAATTTTTTCCATATCTTCAAATTTTAGATACTGTAATTTTCTAGGTATTTCCCCATTATCCAAACAAATCAGCAAATTCCCCAATACCTGCCCTCCTTACTCTGATTTTCCAGTTCTAAGTGAAACTCTTAGCTGAACACATCTGTAAGTCTATTTTTATTATTCTAATTTTATTTAATTATTTATTTATTTTTTGGTTTTCTTTTTCTTTTCTTTCTCCACATTCCTTTATGTTTATGTAGTTTATATTACACTAAAACAATTGTTACCATCTATTTACTTCAGTTTAGGATCTTGTTACTTAGCTTACTCAGTTTATATTTTAATGTACCTGCTGTTTATAATTTTAATAAGCTTATTCACATTGTTTATAATTTTTTTGTCTAAATATAATGTAACTTCCACAATTCTCTATATCTTTTTGTATCTTGTCCGTTCTAGCCCTGAAGAAGACCTGCAAAGTCGGGTCGAAAAGTTGGCTTTTAATAAAATAGTTTTGGCATTATTCAGCCTATTTATTATTATTCAGCCCCGGACCATCTCCTTTCTTTATTATAATTTTTGTTTTTTCCAAATGACTTGCTACAAACCGTAGTCTTCGCAATGGAATATATACTAATCTCTTTTAGCTTTATTTGTAAATAACAATGAAGTTTATTTTAAAATGCTATACTGAAAATATGACCTCTCGACAATAAAATTTATGTAGCTTACGCACCACCTAATATTTTAAATTTACTTTTCTAAAACCGTTCTCCACCTACCCATGAATGCATAAGCTGTCTTCAGAGATAGGTGCTACTTTGAGTACCGAATACCAAGTATTGTACTCAAATTTAATCACTATTGGGAATTCAATCACTAATTCAGTTAATCTTTTGACATCGACTGAAGTATTAATTAAAT